TTACTGACACTAGTGAAGAGAGAATGACATATTTGGAGGAACTAACTACGGGGGAGGCCAACAAGGTTGTTTGTGGTTTCAGTCATCTTCCCAGCGAAAAAGCCTATCAAGCGGCTATGGATCAACTTTCAGACAGATATGGTGACAACGAAGTCATCGCAAGCACTTACATAAAGAAAGCATTAGAATGGCCTACTATTAGGCCAGGAGAACCAAAGGCTCTAGATGAATATGCCTTATTCCTAGTAGAATGCATGAATGCGGCAGAGCATGTAAATGCAAGCAAATTTTTGGAGTATCCCGAACACATGAATGTTCAAACTACCAGTCTACCTACATGACAGATGGCGAAATATAGCATTGAACCTAAAGGAAAACAAGAAGCCTGTCCTATTCAGGGACTTTGTAAAATTTGTGCAAAAGGAAGCTAAGAAGGTCAATGACCCAATTTTTGGAGCTGTAGGAAGGACAGCCACAGGAATGGAAACTCCGAGAATGGAAGTGAAGCCTAAACGTACGACGGTCACCGTAAGGCAAACTACTGTAGAAAGCGGTGTCAATAGAGAAGTTGTCTTCATGTGCCCCATCCATCAAGGATCGCATCAGTTTATAAAATGCAGAACATTCCTATCAAAGTCCGATGCTGAAAGAAAGCAGTTTATAAAGAAGCACAAGGTGTGTTTCAGATGTCTGGCATCTACGACTCATTTCGCAAGGGAGTGTAAAGCCGAGATCAAGTGTGGAGTTTGCAGTAGCCCCCGACACCTAGGAGTGATGCATATCCATAATCGTGAACAACAGACAACTCAAAATCCAGCACAAGCAAATACCACTGCTACTACAAAACCTGTGACCAGCAACTGTATGGAAATATGCAGAGATGGAGTAGGACGTTCATATGCGAAAATATGTTTGGCCACTGTGTACATGGCAAAGAATCCTAACAAGAGCCAAAGTTTATATACTCATTGATGATCAGAGCAACAAATCATTAGCAGATACCAGAATCTGAGTGGTCTTATTGTGGAATCTCTTGATGGGGCGACCAAGATAGAAGCACCAAGCTTGCTAGAATGTGCGAAAATCCCAGGAAATATGTCGGAGATTGCTACACCAGAGGTAGCGATGGCCTTTTCTCACTTTAAGTCGATAGCAGGACAGATCCCACCTTTGAATAAGAGTAGTAATGTGCTGCTGTTGTTAGGACGTGATGTCCCGCAAGTACATAAGGTTAGAGAGACACGCAATGGGCCCAACAATGCACCATGGGCTCAGAGGCTGGATCTGGGATGGGTAGTTGTTGGAGAAGTTTGTCTTAATGGAGTTCATAGGCCAAAAACTATCTCTACACTTCGCACACAGGTACTCATAACTGGTAGGCCCACAACTTTACAATCGTGTCCGAATACATTTCAAATCCATACATTATTTGATGACAAAGATTGTTGCCACTTGTGGGTTTTCTAAATGTTAATATTGGACTCATAAATAGCACACGGGACACAGACTATCGGTACTCGTGTTTATTGGATCACACGCCATGATCGAGAACCCCGGACGAGCGTTGCCAGGACATTGACATCTTTCCTCTTTTTTTAAGCTTTTTTGCTTTCAATTAAAGATTATATCATTAGTTATGTTTTCAGGTGTATTGTATTCTATGCGAGTATATTAAATCTATACTAATGTTATTATTATGAGTCTTGTTATGTTATTCAGCTGTATGGTGTACCTTCATTAACTTTGAACTTTTAAGTAACTCAACATATATAATTTTAAACTTGTATGAATTATAGATAATTAAGTATTAAATCACATAACATGTCATTCTTCTCTATAATTATTAGTGATTATATTCCATATGAAACTTTAACACTTTCATTAACATTTTCCTGCAAGAGTTCAGCATGGTCTACTGTTGTTATGAAGATATTAATCATATTGTCCATTGATTTATAGTGTTATATTATGGCATATAGTCTTTCAGATATTTTGGAGGTTTCACTGTTCTTCCCGTTCTGGTTTTCACGGGCGAGGTTTCCGTAGTAGGGTGGTCCACTTGTTGC